ATATATATATATATATATATATATATATATATATATATATATATTTCAACGTGTGCCTGAACTTGTTTAAATTGTTTATTGAGAAATTAACATGAACATGCATGGATGCACGCAGGTTTATGGACAATATTTTACGTACAAACCCCTTAACATATGTGCAAAGCAGATGGATTTGGTGTTACCTTCGTGACTATCGACATGTTTTGATGAAAACTTTGGATATAAGTCTAAGAAAAAATGAATTTTTTTTATTAAAAATACTCTTTATTTTCATCAAATTAACATTTAAGAACTCTTTTATGCTGCATCAAAACAAACTTTATTTCTTGATGATGAGATCATAATTAAATAGAGACACGCATGTGTGATGTGTATGTTTAAATTTGTGCCCTTGATCCTGAATCACGAAAAGAAAAAACGGCTTAAAGGAAATACAGAAATTTTAAACAAAGATTTATCTGTTGTAGGCACAAATTTTGTATTTGTTAATGTAACTTCACGACGTATACAGAACCTTATTCAAATATTTTATCAAAGTTGTCTATTAAAAAAAGAAAAACTTTTTAACATACGCATGAACCTTATCGTTGTTATATATATGCATGTAAGAAGAAAAATCTAAATTAGACATTAAATATAAAAAATAATAAGTCTTAACAAAAATAATTTAAATTAAAATATAAAAAAGGATAAATATTAAGACTTTGTCACCTTTTCATAAAGAAGAAAATCATCTCTATATTGATTACAACAGTTTTATTATTAATCAATTTTAATTTTTATTACAGATATGTTCATATTCATATTTTTATAAACAAATATTCATATTTAAATCATACATATTCCTTAAATTAATTATTATTTAATATTTCTGAATTTTTTAATTAACGTTACTTAAAGTAATAAATAATAATAAAGCGTAAATAATAATATAAGTTACAAGTGAATTAATATCAGATAATTAATACAGAATTATAAACTTTGTTATTAGAGAATTACATCCTCAATTTGGAAATAGTTTGTTTATTATATCTTCATTTTTTAATCACGGGGAAAAAATTTGTTAGTACAAACACTTCTATTTATACATAGAGATTTTTAATTTTTATTACAAAATAAATTCATATTGATATTTTTTTTATAAACAAATATTTATATTTAAATTATGTATACAAATAAAAAATAAGACACTTCATACTTCATACTTTTGTGATGTCGTTCTTTGAATTATGTGTTAATAAGGATAATGTACCGGTACAAATCAATTTCAAAGATAATTTTTTTATAAAAAAGTTTTTTTTTATAATTATTATCATGTGATTCATGCGATTTTATAAAAAGATTAAAATTGTCAAAAAATAATGTGTACACTAAAATAGATAATCATATATATATATATATATATATATATATATATATATTAATTTAGTTATTACTTAAAGAAATCCTTAAATTTTTAATTAATAATAAATAGTAGGTTAAGGGTGTTTGTTGGACTGTTTATTAATTTTTTTTTTCAGTTGTTCTTGTGAGTATATGAAAAGCAAGAAATAATGTTTTTTTTTCTTCATTTTACTGAATTTAATCATGTTGAAGTGGAAACAATGACTTTTCAAGCCTCACACACTACGATACATAGTGACAAATGCATTTTTAATTGTTAATAAGTATCACTAGTTCAAAAAAGATAATTTATTCAGTTATTTTAAGTTTTTTACGTTAGAAAAAAGTTTGACGTTAAAGTGGGAGACATAAATTTACGTCAGTTGTGAAATTCAACGTAAATTTACGTCGGATATTGACAAGATCTGACGAAAAAAAGTTGTAAAAAAAAAAAATATAACGAGTAAAACAGAACGAACCGTTCTGATTGGAGAACGGCTCGTTCTGCTTGGAGAACGAGCCGTTTGATAGAACAACCCAGCAGAAAAAGCCAACAACCCAAACAAATAGAACAACATAAAGACCGAATAGAACAAATAGCCATAATAGCAACGCGAAGCAAAAAGGTGTTAGCGATTCATACCTGAGTTGCAACAATGTGTGAATGAGAAACGAAGAGTTCATCCCACTCTACAGAAGATTAAAAAAACGATTTAGCAACAAAGGAGAGAGAGAGGGTTTATACATTGAAGAATCTAGAAAAGTGATGATATTCGAGTGAGTGTGTGTGTGCATGTGCCTCCCATGCACTCTTTTTATTCGCTTTCGCTACTTTTTACGTCGGACCTGGTAGGGTCCGACGTAAAATGTAAAATTTACGTCGGTTGTTTGTTGTGTCTGACGTAGATTATACATTTTACGTCGGATCCTACCAGGTCCGACGTAAAAAAATTCACAAAAATTACAAAAATGCCACCACATCTTTTTTATGTCAGTTTTTGTTAAGTTCAATGAGAAAGATGTGACGTGAAAGCCTCGTTTTCCACTAGTGTATAAAAATCATGATTTGGTCTCTCTCTCAAGGTAGTTGATTCAAAGCTAATTTGGATGGATATGTTACCAGCCTCTTGTGTTGCTATATTACAAATTGTTAATGATAATTGATGCGGTGGATTTTTTAAAAGAGCATTGCTATATAAGCTGAAATAAATTCTGAATCAACGTCTGAATTATTAAAATATTAATATTTTTAAATAATTTTATTATAAAATAATTATTTAATTTAATATTTTATTATTTAAATAAGATTTTTAATAATTTATAACAAGTTTCAGAGTCTACTTTCGAACGATGCGACATTTTTCTTTTGAAAAACTTGGGTAAACTAATGTTTTATTTTTTTTTTGGTTCGTCTTTGGAGTATTCACCGCCGATAACAGTGATTAATCTCCTCGCTACGTTTGAGGCACCTCAAAGGATGGGATAGCTGGCCCCAAGATTTAACGCTGCTACATATACAAGACAAGATTCAAACCCCTTAAGGTCAACTAATGTTGTTATGGTTGAGATATGAGGAATTGCTTTTACCCTCTTTTTGGCATGTTATAAAGGTGTGTGAAAACTTGTAATTGAATAATTTTAAGATGATTCATTTCGACAATAAAAAAGTGGGAATATCTCATTCTATTTAGTTATTAATCCAATTTATAAGAGATTAGGTTGAGAAGTTATATTTCCAAATGTATTTAGAGAGGTTAATATAGTTGTTGACTATATGGCTTATTTAACTCACTCTTATGATATTGGTTATTGTATTTTTATATTAAAAAATCTACCATTTACTTTTATTGATAAAATATAACTATTTTATCTGGAATTCATTCCTCTCTTATATTAAAAAAAAAAAAGAGAAATAAATAGTAATAAAACGTAGTTAATATAAAATACATGGGAATTAATATCAAATAATTAATGTAAAATTATAAACTTTCTAATTTAAAAACTATATCTTTAATTTAAAAATAATTTAACAATAATATCTTAAATTTTAAAGAGAAATTTGTTAATATAAACATTCTTTCTTTTATATATAAAAACAATGTATTAAAATATGTGTGACATATTATTGATCCATATGAACCTAGTTTCCTAAGAAAGGCCACAAAACACTACACGATATGAATTTATGGTTATATTTGACAAATACAATATATATACCTGTATTTTAATTATAAGCTTAATTTAATTAATAATTTTGATTTCCACATAGAATTGCAATAAGATATATTACTATATTCTTAAAAAATTAATCCAATAAAAAAGAGTTTTACCTATTTATTAAACTTAAATTAGTAATTTACTTCCGCGTTAAATCTTGGGGTCAGCTATCCCACCCTTTAAGGTGCCTCCAACGTAGCGAGGATATTAGTTACTGCTGTCGGCGGTGGATACTCCAGGGACGAACCAAAAAAAAAAAAAATTAGTAATTTACTTGATCGACTGGTAGCACGCTAATCTAACATTTTTTTTTTGTTAACGTTACTAGCTTTTTTAAATGTATAAAAAACCCGAATTTAACACGAATGAAAACATTATTTTTATCAAAATTAGGTTAAAAACAAACGGGACCTTGCAAATTTGAATTTAATTGCGAGATCAGTGTAGACATGTGTGGATAATGGAAGAGAACAAGGAATCTGTAGTGAAGGAATTATCTGATACTATTTGATGATTCCGATTTTTTGGTTCCAAAAATTTAATCAAGTGAGAGTCACATGCAGTGTTTTAAAAACCGGATCGAACCGGCAAGTCGGACTGATTGAACTGGGTACCGGTGGTCCAGCCGATCCGAATCTTAAGTTAGATTGATTATGCAGTCGACTCGTTTCAAACCGGATTGGACCGGTCAATTTTTCGGTTCAACCGGTAAACCGGTAAGTCAAACCGATTCAACCACACTTAATATATATATATATATATATATATATATATATTTTTATTTTTTATAT